GCTGATTGGGTTTCCTATTAGTCTACTCCTAACTTTTCTATTTTCCAGAAGCCACTCTAAGTCTCTTAACTACTAATGACAATTTCCCCTGTTTTCCACTGCTACTCTGAATTCTCATTTTTAATTATCTACTGCCGTTTGATGGGATTGGGAAAGGAAAGGAAAGGAAATGGGGGCTCTTGAGACAGAAGTTGTTTTCTAAGTTATAAATGTGTCTATCCCATGGTGGAGCAATTCCATTTCTAGGCATAGATCCTACGATAATGTTTTTATCCTAATATGGCCAAAGCAATATCTCCCATCCCACATACTCTTCTGCAATGTGATCTTGCCAGGCTCACACCTAGGGAATTAGACATCATTCCTTCTACTCTGGAAAATAAAAACAGACTTACTTTCCATCAATGAAGGGTGAGATCCTACTGCATCCATTTTTGAACTATAGAATAGTTCCTTTATAGTCTAAAACTTTTAAAGGAAAGTGGTAATGTTTCATTTTCACAGTTTAAACACCTAAATTTAATTTCCACAGAACCTATTCTACAGTGGACTCTTGGAAGAGCGATGGTAAAACATGAGGTCAAAACATTGTATCCACATGTGATAGACATCAAAGTGACAAAGTGCCCTTGTGCCAATGATGTTGCTATAATTGGCTTTGTTTTGAATACAACATATAATGGTAAGTTTACAAATTTATTGAATGACATTAGTAGTGTTTTGCATTTGTTAAAGGTGTTGGTTAAGTGGCAGTATAAATGAAATGTATATAGTTGGGCTGGAGTGAAAATGATTCTTAAAAACACCCATGAATTTACTCTTTGTCACTCTACCTGTCTAGTTGCAAGTGTGATATATTGAGGATATTGTTTCTCGTGACTTTTTACCATGTCAGTAGTGGCTTAAGTATCTCTCCTAATTTCATTTATCCTCTTCCCTCTACTGGTATATTACTTCTTCCCAACGATTATGCATTGTTTTTAATCCATTTGATATTTCTTCCATATATAAGTAGGTATTATTTTTCCTAAGGTATTACATTATTTTATTTATTATGTGTATGTTTTTTCACTGCTGCACGTACAAAGGAAAAAATAAGCTTTTTCTCTTTATTCTCATTTACAACACTTCAAATACCAATTGTATAGATTCTCTACACCAAGCCTTTCTTCAGTTCCTTGCTGACACTAATTGGGCATCCTATGATTTAATTCAATTCTGGCATAGTTAGCACAGACCCCCTAGAGGTTGGAGTCTTAGTTCCATTCACAAGTTCCAGGTTATAACCTGTACTTCTAACCAACCCTATTAGAGGGTTTCCATGACCCACCCCCAATCAATAATTTGCTAGAAGAGCTCATAGAACTCAGAGGAACATCTCATACATTTAATAAGTTTATTGTAAAGGACATCATGAAGGATACAGATAAACAGCCAGATAAAGAGGTATATAGGGCAAAATTCAAAAAGGTCTCAAACACAACAAGTTCTGT